ACAAACACCTGGAAGGCTCAAAATGCACTTCTAACATAATGGTGGTTAACCCGAATTCACTGACTACTGATTAAATAAAAACCAACATTATTACTTATATTAGCCACCTGTTGCTGCGCTAACAAAGTATCACAAACTTAGGGGCTTAAAACAACATACATTCGAATTTCCTGTCCATGTGGATTCCCTGTGTGTACGAAACTAAATTTGATTTTCTCCTGTAAAACCGTCTCGTGTCAATTTGATTTCCAGTCCAGGTGGAAGGATCTTGAAGGACAGAGGAAAATTCTTCCTCCCCAACAGTATGCACCACGTTTTCCAGCAGTCAACAGACTTCTCTGCATGTTCTTGAATAAAATGTGATCTAAGATCCAGAAAAGGAACCCTCCACCACCCACTCATTCCTTTACAGTCCTGGAGGTCAGAAGTCCAAAGTCAGTTTCACTGGACTGAAGTTATGGTGTCCCTCCAGGGGCTGTAGGGCCTCAACTCATTTCCTGGCCTTTTAGAGCTAAGCTTCCTGTATCCCTTGGCTTATATCCCTTTCCGCCATCTTCAAAGCCAGCAGAATAGCATTTTTTCAGTCACTACCTTGCCTTCTTCTTTCTCATCTCTCTGCCTCCCTTTTATAAAGGACCCTTGTGATCCCATTTAGGACCCAACTACATAATCCAAGATGATATTCCTGCCTCAATATCCTTAATTCCTTAACAAATCAGCAAAGCCCCTTCTGCTATATAAGGTGCCTGGTTCCAGGGATCAGGAAGTGCCTAGTTTGGGGGGCTACTATTCAGCCTACCACATTACCCTCCTAGACTCACAACACGAAAATTCACCTGGGGGCCCATAAGGACCTTCACAGTGGCCATTCCCACCTTTGTGTGTCCTTCAATGACATTAGTTGTATTATTAGTCTAGCTCTTTGAAAGGACACACTGATCTCCTCAACCTCAGTATTGACACTGTGAAGGCATGTGCCCTCCTCTGTCACTTTGGTTTCCTTCAGAAAGCAGGGAGGTGTTCAGAGAAGCATCAGAAGGATGGGGCCAACTGTGGGATAGCTGAACTTCAGAGAGAATGATGAGGACTGGCACGCACTGGCGGGAATTGGTGGAAAGGTGCACTTCTGGTGCCCCTTCTGCCACCAGAACCCTGCCTCCTTGGTTCTTCTTGGTACAGACTTTCAGGTTTGGCCAGTGGCAAAATTAGACCTCAGAAACACCTACATTAATCAAGTCGATTTCGTTCACTGTCTTGTGTTAGTGCGCTTTTCAAAAGGCCCGGTCCTCTTGAGCATGAACTTTGAGGAGGTGTTTGGTAAGCCAGTGCCATGACTCCTTTTCTGGAAAAGACTCTGGGTAGTCGGAAATGAGCCCTTTGTGGCCAGCCATCCGTACATTTCAGCTTGAACTGAAGGGCACTAGACTCTGTGGTTCCCTAAGTGATCTCATTGGCTTGGGTCCCCACACTGCTTTCCTGCCACCCCTACCTTTATCTGCTCCCCACCCCAACATCTGGGGTGCTGTTAGGTTCTCCCACCCCCCATACTGGGACTTTCACTTAACTGCTAATCCTTTTCCTCATTAGGTTTGGTCACTGGCACACAAACAGGACAGTTACTGGTATTGGTCTGGCCCTTTTTAACTCTATGTGAGAAGACTAGAACCTGAATTCCTAAACTGATGATAATTCAGCCTGTCGGCTCAGCGGGTTATGTCCTAAGCACAACGTATTTTGTTAGGAAGGTCTTGACAGTTGATTCCAAAATGGCCCGGCTGACCGTTATCTCAGCCTATTGTCTTTCTCATCTAAGGAAAACCCCAAAGACTAATTCAGCAGGTCAGTAAAACAGAGGTACTTACAACAAAAGTTGAATACTGCTCCAGGGTCCCGAGACCTCATTACACACTCGGATCACAATAAAAATCCAGAAGGGGCTGCCACCCCGTTCTCAGTACCTACAGATATGATGGCCTTTCTGATTCTGACAAAGGAAAGAAAGGCTGATTGTAGTCTTGGCAGGGATCTAATTTTTTTATCCCCAGAGAGACTCTCAGTTCCCAGGAAGGCAAATGTCTGCCGCTGCCCTATTTCTGAGGGGCGACTGTGCACACGGGAAAACCACCAGCATAGCAGCAGTGTTGCAACGTGAGCACAGGAGACACAACACGAAGGGGAAGTGCTGAATCCGCTCTCTCAGGACATTCGACGGGGGCGCTGGTTCTCACACTTTGCAGGACACTGAAACTGTCTGGGGGCCTTAAAGACGCTGATGCTTGGGCCGCACCCCCGGAGAGTCAGGGCTAACTGGTGTAAAGTACTGTGCTGAGCAGAAGAATGGGCCCTGGAAAGTGTCTACTATTCAGTCCCCAGAACCTACCAGTAGGTTACCATGCATGGCCAAGAGGGCAATAAGGTTGCTAATCAACTGCCCTTAAAATGGGGGAAGTTATCCCAGATTACCCGGTGGCCCACAAGGAATCACAAAGGTCCTTAAAGGCAGGAGGAGACAGAAGTTAGAGGTCAGGGTGATGTGATGTTAGAAGGACCCAATCCACTATTGTCAACTTTGAAAACGGAGGAGCCACGAGCCAAGGAATGGAGGAAGCCTCTAGAAGCCGGAAAAGGCAAGGAAAGCGAGTCACCCTTGGGGCCTCCAAAAAGGAACGCAGCCCTGTGGATACCTGGCCTTTTCAGCCCAGGGAGACGCGGGCCATACTTCTGACCCCCAGGACTGTTAAGATGGCAGGTGTGTGTGGCTTCTAAGCCACTAAGTCTATGGTCATTTGTTACAGCAACAAAGAAAACTAACACTGGTGTGGCCTGGACTTTGGAGGGTCAAGGGGGGCTTAACGGCTCCCCAGGTGATTGTGACAGGCAGCAAAGCATGAGGGCCGAGGGACTGCGGGGAAGACAAGGATGTGCTGTAAAGGCGCCCGGTGATGGCGCCTGGGAGGTCAGCAAGTCACATACCTCCCCCCCCCCCCAAGAAAACCATCACCAGGTCGCAGCCTAGAGATGGCTGCACAGTGGCTAACTGAGGCACATCCCAGCATGGGCCCACCGCCATTTTGGTGGCTAGATTCCTTCTCGTCTGACCCACTCAACAGGCCCTGCTTCCTTTAGATAAGGAGTAAATACAGCTGTGATAAGCGGGTTTTCTCTAGAGCTTGTTGTCTTACTAACGTGCTCTTTTGAGGAAGGAACCGGCCAATAACTGAATTATATGCAAATATATAAATGAGCATATTCATGGTAGCACCATCAGGAAAAGGACTCCAAAGTCTTCTCTTCTGGGTCTGAACTATTCTAAAATTTTTTTCTCTTTCCTTTTTTTTTTTTTTTTTTTGCTGTTTTTTAAAATTTATCTTATGTTTATTTTTGAGAGACCAAGCACAAGCAGAGGATGGGTAAACAGAGAGGGAGACACAGAATCCGAAGCAGGCTCCAGGCTCTGAGCTGTCAGCACAGAGCCTGACTCAGGGCTTGAACCCATGAACTGGGAAATCATGACCTGAGCGGAGATCAAGAGTCAGATGCAACCAACTGAGCCACCAGGCAGCCCGTGTGTTTGAACTATCACATGCTGGGGTTATAAACGTAGAGGGTTTGTCCATTTGCTTTAGCAAGCTACTTACTTACACACATGAGAAACAGATGGACTGTATTTAGTTACGATCAATGTAATAGCCCTGTGGGAAGAAATTAACTCCATCTTCGTGGCCATCGAGAAAAGAGTTTGCTTGCATGGGTCTGACTGGTGCAGCCCTTACTTCTGGGCGAGATTTCGTCCATTCCCAGGCTGCCGTGCTCAAGCGTCCACGGTCATTTTCTTGAAAGCCAGGCCGTCACCAGCTTCCATGGCACCATCACCAAAGCTAAAACCTCAGAACCTTCCACCCTTCTCTCCCTGCACGGTCTTCCTCAGAGAGGAAGGGGAGGGTAGCAGAAAAAGCAGTCACAAGCATCAGATACCTGTGCTGGAATTTCAGGGCTGTCACTTACCAGTGACGTGGCGTTGGGAGCCCCGTCAGCCGCTCTGAGCTCTAGCAAACAGGGCTAATGCTGCCTTTGCGATGCTGCGTATGCATTCAATGCAATGACGGTGAATGTGCTTCACGCACAGGAGGGGCTCTTGCTGAATGCCGGCTGCACGGACGCCCCACTGTTCCTATGCGCTCACACGTCACCTCCACGCAGAAGCTTCTGACATCCCTTCTCTGTGGTCCTGTGCTGTCCCTGAGCCCCAGTACCAAACCACCGAGCGCCTACTCAACACTTCAACCCGGATGGCTCACTGACATCTCTAACTGGACATGTCCTGACTGGACTCAGGGTCTCCACTCACAAACCAGTGGCCCTCCCGGCCTCCCCCGACTGTCCACCAGGGTACAGATGTCCCCAGTCACCTGCCTCCGCCCCTTCCCCGCCCCGCCCCTCCGCCAGGCCCCGCCCCTCCTGCCGCAGGCCTCTGGCAAAGGAGCTTTGCAGGTAGGCCCCCAACAAAGCTTGGTTTCTCCCCCTCCGGCTGCTGTGGTGTGCGAATCAATCTTGCTCCAACCAGATCACACCAAGTCCTGAACTTGGAGCACTTCTCTGCCCCGCACCCTGGTGATGATGAGAGGGGCCAGCTCTACCGGGGATGTGGTCAACGCGGGTCCCCGCGGCCCGAGGGATGCCTCCCATCATGCCCAATGCTCTGAGTCATCTCCACATGTCACCACATGAAGGAGAAGTTCCTGGGAGCTTTACGTGGCTCGGAAAACAAAGTATTTTTTAAAGCAGTGACAAAGGACCGGAAATTTCTTATCAAATCTCTTTGTGTAGTTAACCACAATCTGACTCTGCCACAAACCGCCCTCAACTGCGTCCAACCGCAATAATCCGTCGACACCAAATGACTCTACGAGTTTTGCAGTATTAAAATCACTTAACAAACATTCAAGCCTTTAATATTTACACTACAGGGCAAACGCAGTCGACGCCAGATGTGTTCTTACCATTTTGTTCATCCAGTTCATTCCCAATCTCCTTCCCCATCTGTTTCTGGCGGCTTATGATAGAGGACAGGGCATCGAGGCCTGCGTCCTGTTCTGAAAGAAAAAGTAAAGCAGGCCTCTAAAAACCAAAGGCAAACAATTTGAAGTCCATACCCAGGCATGTAATGCAATTCAATATATGGTAAAAGCAATATACGAAAGAAAAACAGTATATTAAGACAAAATAAAGAAAATAAATTATTAGATATCTACCTCATACCTTAAGCTAAAATGATTTGTTTTTTTATTTTAAAATTTTTAACACTTATTTCTTTTTGAGAGAGAGAGAGACAGATGCGAACAGGGGAGGGGCAGAGAGAGGGGACACAGAATCGGAAGCAGCTCCAGGCTCCAAGCTGTCAGCACAGAGCCCGACGCCGGGCTCGAACTCACGAACCATGAGACCATGACCTGAGCCAAAGTTGAACACTTAACCACCTGAGCCACCTAGGTACCCATAAAACGATTTTCAGATAAATTAAATTTTAAGATTACAAATGAAATAATGTAAGCTTTGACTACATCAGTGTTTAAACTTTCTGAGGCATAAGGAACATTCACAGCTCAGTAAGACAATTTTCCAGTTTTGTAAATGGGCAAAGGATATAGACATGAAATTCACAAAAGAATAAAAGAGGAAAAATAAATAAAAGCTCTGACATCACTACTCTTTTTTTTTAAAGATGAGATTTTTTTTTTTTTTGATTACCAGATTTGTAAGGATTTAAAGCCATCTAGTGCCCAGGGTTACCTAGTGTGTGATGGAGAAGCTCCTCCGTTCTATCACGGGAGTACAGGTGACATACCTTTCTGTAGAACACACTGGGCCTGTCTTTTCATCTATCAATTCCATGTGCAGGAATGTGAGAAAACATTCAGAGAACATGCAGTGAAGTATGTACGAAGATATGCCTGGACACATTTCCCGTGCTGGGTATCCATTTTATTGCCTCTGAGCCCTGACTTCAGCCTTTTTTGACTGTTCAGTGAAAATACATCTGGAGCCTTTAAATACTCCTTCCTTTGCTGCTCTGTCACCAGACAGGACTGCGGAGACACTGCAGAAGAAGAGTGTTCCCTGGCGCCCCGGAGGGCAGATTTCCAGCAAGTTCCACCCGCTCAGTGCCACAGCAACCCCCCCCCCACTTCAGTCCTGGGGGTGTGGGGTGTTTCTTAGGACACTCGATCTCAGTCCGAGTTCGTGATCGCACCTTACACCTGCTATTTCTGTCTCCTTACTACTTGCTGGCCAATCCCTCGTTACTCTGATCCCCTGCTATGGGTAATAAAAATATTCAGTTTTCCCCGTTCAGGTTTCTTTTCCGTGATTGGATCCAGACTGCTACGTTTATAATAGCGAAACACTGGAAACTATTGAATGCCCAGACACAGGGATTTGTTTAAAAACATACAGTATATTCCCAAGTAAAACACGAATAGCTACTACACATGACATTGTACATGGACATGTTGGTGTTAAAAGAAGTTCATGCTATGTCAGGAGGCTAAACGGCGTGGAGTAATATAGCAGTTTTGTTTTTAAACATGAAGATGTATTACTTTTCTAGATTCTGAAAATGTAAAGATAAAAGAATTCAAATTACTCTAGGAATTGTCTTTAAAATGCAACGTTGTTTCTTTGTTTTTTAACCAGCGATCTCGCTGAGCTTTTTCGCTTTGCTTGAGGGTGCCTTGGGAAGAACGTTCTGGGGCTGTGTCTAATGGCTCTCTCTACCCCAGCGGTACGCCAGATGAAGGCAACAGGCCCTGGGCCGCTTGACTTGCGGATGAGGATTTTTCAACGACTGCTTCCCACAGAGGCGTGATCTGGAAAAGCAGGAATCACAAAGGTCTTTTCTCACCCAAGATCACATGGACGTTTGCTTATTTTTTCCCTAGTCGTTTCATGGAATTAAGCCATGACACTTAACTTGTTAATTCATCTGGAATTTATTTAAACTAATGGTGTGAGGTAAGGACCCCTTAGTAACATTTTTTGACACTATGTACATTTTTAACTACACAAATGACCTGCCATCTCTAGGGACTGTTCCAAGGGACCATTTTATAGCAAAAATCACTTTATAATGAGGCCCTTTCGGTCTTCGGTAACAACCTTTTGGATGGACTCCAAGATAAATCTATCATCGGCCTGGTGCTGCTACAGGATGACCTACGTTATGGTAAGATTCTAAATGCGTCCCAAGAATAATCTATATGAAGGACCAAGGGTCAAGGGTCAACCTGGATTCAAAGGGAAAACAATTTAAAAAGAGGAAAGGAGATTCCTCCATGGCCTCAATTAGGAAAAGAATCATTAAAGTCCCCAAGTCTCTTTATCTTGTAAGACACAGATTGTGAATGAAAATGCTGATACCTCCCTCTTCTCTTTCAACCTTGACCCACAGTCCGACCTTAACTGCCGAAAGGTTATCTCGCTAATGCAAAACAGAACAAGGGTGAAAAATTCTGCACCACTCAGACCATTTCTGCAAGAATTTAGCACCTCCTCCCCATGTGAAAGTGCTGTCCATAATCCAAAGACACAGAAGGTCCAAGCAATGGAGATGGCTGTGTGTGTATCTATGGGCCTGATGACCTGAGCGTCTCCAGGCTTACCGCAGCACTTCTAAGGGGACATGGTACAGTCACCTGAGAGACGATGAGCCAAGATAAAATGCCGCCAGCTGCTCATTTCATAAAGTCGAGACCCACGCAATGATGCAAAGCCATGCAAAACTACGCTAATGTCATGCTCATAGCTCATTACCATAATCTGCCCCCCATCACATAGCCCAAGTCACCATGATATCATATGCAACATGCCATGTTCTATCAATCATCTGTCAGTATTACAGTGGTGTTAATTTTTAAAAACGGAGGAGCACCGTGCTACACATAAAAATGGCCCCCAGAATATGTCATCATCCCAATCTCTGGAACCCGAGAATATGTGACCTTACATGGCCAAAGTAACCCTGCCAATGTGATTAAGGCTAAGGAATCTGAGATGGGAGAATGTTCTGGGTGATCCAGGTGGGCTCAATGTAATCGTGAGTCCTTAAAAACAGAGAATCTTTCCCAGCTGTGCTCAGAGGGAGCTATGAAGAAGGGTCGGAGGGTTGCAAAGTGCTGGCTCTGGACACGGAGGAATGGGACTATGAGTGAGGGACATGTGAGGGCTCTAGAAGCCAGAAAAGCTCAGGGAATGAATTCTCCCCTGGAGCCTCCAGAAAGGAACCAGCCCTGCCCATGCCTTGCTCTTGGCCCAGGAAGATCTGTCCTGAACTCCTGACCTACAGAACCGTAAGATGACAAATTGGTACACTGAGTCACTAAGTCTGTACAAATTCATTGCAGCGGCCACAGAAAACTAATACAATCATTGTTTTTGAAAACCCCTCTGGAATAATTAGGTGTTTGGATGCTTCCTATCCTTAGACATTCTGAAAAAACATCCTCTAACTGAACATCTTGTAATTATGGGAGGGTTATCTGGTGTCTGCAGAGCAGAGAGGGACAGTCAACATAATGTATTTTTGCCAAAAACAATAATCTCGATTCTGATCAAGCCCACTGAACCTAACTACTAATTTACGGAAAATATGTGGGGCAGACGGGGATGTTAAACAATATATGGAATTACAAATAGCAGGTCTAGAGAGTGGGAAAGTCCAGGGCGAATGACCCTACTTCTTCAACAGAGAAACTGCACAGGGGGAAAGTGAGAGCTGGCAAAAGTATTGATTATTAAAGAAACTGAAGGAACATATCAATTAGTTGTAATGTCCATACATATATTCAGATCCTGACTCGAACGACCTAAGAAAAACAAAAAAACAAAAAACAACAACAACAAAAAAACCATCTGGGAGATCGGAACATTGGATATTTGATTATATTAAGGAATTACTATTAACTTATTAAGGCTGATAATGGCAATGCACTTACATTCTTAAAAAACCGGTCCTTGTCTTTTGCAAACATACTTTAAAGATATATTCCACAATATCCACTGTTGGAAATGATATGATGTTTAGAATTTGCTTCAAAAATAATCCAGGGGCGCCTGGGTGGCTTAGTCGGTTAAGCGTCCGACTTTCGCTTAGGTCATGATCTCGCGGTTCGTGGGTTCGAGCCCCTCTTCGGGCTCTTTGCTGACTGCCAGCTCTGAGCCTGGAGCCTGTTTCAGATTCTGTGTCTCCCTCTCTCTCTGACCCTCCCCTGCTCACGCTGTCTCTTTCTCTCTCTCTCTCCTAGAAATAAATAAAAAACATTTAAAAAAAACAAAAACAAAAACAAAAACAAAAATAATCCAGGTGATGGGGTGCCTGGGTGGCTCAGTCGGTTAAGCATCCGACTTCGGCTCAGGTCATGATCTCGTGGTTAGTGCGTTCGAGCCCCGCGTCGGGCTCTGTGCTGACAGCTCAGAGCCTGGAGCCTGCTTTGGATTCTGTGTCTCCCTCTCTCTCTGCCCCTCCCCTGCTCACGCTCACTCTCTGTCTCTGTCTCTCTCTCTCAAAAACATAAAAAATAGTAAATAAATACATAAATAAACAAACTTAAAACAAACAAACAGACATCTACTCTTAGGACTTGGCTCTGGGAGTTTTCCCAGTGTAGCAATTAACTTTATCCAGCGTATCCACCATCCCCGTCTGTCCCTTACCTCCCCTTACCCAGGGAGAGCACCTCCTCGCGTCAAATGTGAGACTTTTAACAGACCGAGGTGATCCGGTGACAGCACCTCACCCATCTTCAGTCTTCCATCTGTCTGTGCCTGAAATTACTGCTTATGCAGCACAGAAGCCACACCGGCTCACTGGCTATAGGGAGGCCTGGCCTCTAGGTTAGGAAAGGAAAGTATTCATGGCCCGAGTCTCAGTTCTACCGATGAACTGTGACTGTGCGATGAGTTTCAAAGAGTTTCTAAGGGTCGACAAAAGTACAGAAAGGCTAACGGATTCCACGGGCGGAAGTTAGAAATGACCCTTCGTGGTCCCTTATTTCTATCTGGTGCAGGGCCTGGCAAGGAAGCAAAACCATGGCAACCT